TTCTTGAAAATTTGACAAGTTTTTCCGAGTCCTTGTCATGTGTCTGGAACAACTACAGTCAAAATACCAAGCATCAGTAGTACATGCTTTTAATGAAGTATAACCAACAAAACACCTTAAATCGGATTTTCTAACCCATATTTTTCTTGTTTTCTTATTAGACAAATCAATTTTGATTCTAGGTGTTCGTTTTGCTTATCCATACTCCAAATTCAAACCTTTATAAATAGCATTTATGTACTTAAAATACCATGGTCAAATATGTCCAAGCATATTACAATAATGACAAATAGGAACAAACATGTTTGTTGCTTGTCTTGTTGCAACAGGCTTTGCAACAAACTTCTTACCTGATCTTATATGAGATTTCTGAAAGGCATGCATTCTCATACTGGTGGCTCCTTTCATAGAGACAGTTTTTACAAAAATTCCTTGACCCTTGTACCCAAGTCCATAATGATCACTACTAGTTTTTTGTTGTGAAAGTAGGTGATCCAATTTTGCAATTCCCGAATTTAGCATTCTTAAATTCTTCTGGGCCTGCTCCAATTCGAGTCTGGTTTCAGCAAGCTTTCTCTGATGCTTTGTTGCCAAGAGTTCATAATTTGTTGTAGCATTTTTCAACTCATCTCTTTCCCTTTTTAAGATAGTAACTTCATCTTCAAGTGATTTATTTCGATTGCATACAACAAGCCACTTACTGTACATCTTCTTATATGCCTCTTGAATCTTCCTAAGACTTAGGTCATCATCACTGTCATCTTCAGTTTCATCCTAAAAACATGTATCATCAATAACTCCACCAGAGATTGTTGCAGATGCTGTTGCAACAGACTCTACAATAACATTATCAGTGGTCAACAAAGTTTTATTAGTGAATTCATTACTTACAGTGAAGGCCACATAATTACTGGTGTGATCATCTGCATCCTCTTGACTTTCATCCGAGTCATCACTTCATGTAGACACCATTGCAGCCTTGTTTCTCTTCTTGAGAGTGTTTGCACACTCTGCTTGAATATGTCAGAATCCTTCACATTCTCGGCATTGTATGCCCTTGTTTCTTTTCTTTTCTTCAAAACGTCGAGGATTAAAATTCTTCTTTTGAGAATTTTAGTTATTTGAATTCTCTCTAATTCTTCCTTTCTTGTTGATCTTTCTCAGCATTTTGTTAAAGTTTTTGGTGAGTAAAGCAAGAGACTCACCCACGTCTTCATCTTCGTCAGTCTCATCTTTGGTAGTTACATCTTCATAATCTGCTTGAAGTTCATTTCAAAGGTTTGAAGATTACCTATGAGTTCATCAAGTCTCATTTTCTCCACGTCTTTTGCTTCTTCGATGGCAGTCACTTTATAAGCAAAACGTGCTAGAAGTGATCTCAAGGTCTTTTTCACTAATTTAGCGTCATAATATTTTTCTCCAAGAGTGAAGGCTTCATTAGCAATATCACAAAGCTTTGAGTTGAAATTGACAATACACTCATCATCCTCCATTCGTAGATGTTCAAAGCGAGTTCTGAGCATTTGAAGCTTTGAAGCCTTCACAACATCTGTACCTTCATGTGCAGTTTGAAAAATATCCCAAGCTTCTTTTGCAGATTCACATGTGGAAATCAATTTGAATTTATTAACATCCACAATATTGAAAATGGCATTCAATGCTTTTGAATTATTGTTTGCTAACTTGTCCTCATCACTGGACCATTCCTCTCCTGGCTTAGGGATGGTATTGCCTTTGTCATCTTTAGTTGTTGGATGAGTCCATTCGGTTAAGACAGATCGTCATGTCTTTACATCAATAGCTTTAATGAAAGCTTTCACGCGAGCCTTCCACTAGGGGTAATTGACACCTTCCAAAAATGGCGGTTTGTTCACCGATCCTCCTTCTCTCATGACATCCATGCCTGCAAAAACAACCAGTACAACAGGATCTCACCGAAACACACGTCAGTGACCCGCTCTGATACCAATTATCAGTTTGAGTCTTTTAACACTTTATAATACAATATGAATAATGCAAAAATGTAAAATAAAAAGACATGAGAGAAATGGTATCGCAGTTCGAAAACACCCTACTCCGTGGGGCCACACCCAGTTGATGAACAATCCACTAAGAACTCTTTTATAATTCAATTGGACTTAATCTACCCGAGATTCCCTCTCTAAGAAGACGCCTATAAACTTGCAATTTCCCAATGGACTTGAACAGCGAGATCCCCTTGACTTTTTAACATTGGAATCCATCCAACTAAGTTTTTCTCTCAAAAACACTCAAATCATCTCTCTTGAATACAAGTACTCACCTCTCACACAACCTAGTAAAAACTAATCAAAAGGTATACAATCAACCAAGAGACTCTTTGAATAAATAGGCAGAAAGTTAACAGCTTGATGACTTCTTCAATTAATTCGCTGAACCAAATCTGTTACAGATCCTTGTTGCAACAATAACTGCAACATAGCTGTAAAGGTCGACTTTCTCAAAACCAGTCCGAATCAATTTGCTATAATACTGAAACCTTCCCGAAACTGATATATGAACCCGGACACATTCTTAGGAGACAGAGGAAGATCATCCAGCTACGAAATCTCCATCAAATATCAATCAAATCAATTTACCATCTTTGGATTAATAGTTGACCTTCAAAAATAGAAACTAAAATAAGTTTTCAGATCTTTCAGAAAACTACCATAAGAAACTTGCCAGCTGCACATCTAATCTCATCTCAACCACAATCAATCAGCCAATCATTCCCAAAATAATGCCAATCATAAAACGAATAGAATCAATACAGAATTTAGAAAATAAATCCCAACAGTGTGGTTGTGGCTAGATTTTGAGGCGACATTGCATGTTTGATCTCCTTTTATATAAAAAGAAAATAAACAATTTGATGAAGGATTTTAAAATTTTAGGTTATTATATAAAATTTAAAGAATTGAACTTTGTTTGCCATCTAGATAATTAAAACCATAAAAGTAAACAAATTTACTAACTTTTTTTTTGTTTACTAACCTTTTTCTTTTATCCTTTCACGGCATGCAACCCTTGGCACAGCCCAACATTGGTATCACATTACTCTAAAGGGCTAGAATTCATGATCCTCGCTAAACCAAAGAGTAATCTTATAGATGAGACCCATCCACCTTTCATATTGGGGATATAACCAATGATGCTATACATAATCTTTTAAACCAATAACACGACCAATGACGAACCCGTAATTTTATATATGATTGGCCGCAACGTTTTTCAAAATATATATTTAATATATTTGATTTGACCACTCCAATGAGGGATAGTCACGCCCAATTTGAACATTATTGAACTTGGTCAAGTTGCTCGACTCAGCATCAAGCCACAAGATGCTACTGTGGCCGGCGACGTCCAATCTTTTTGTTTTTGTTTCAATTGTGATGATAATATTATTGTATTATTTATTAGTTTAAAAGACTCGTTTCCAAATAATTATAAGAATTAGTTAACCACTTGAGAAATTAACCAAATGAAATTGACTAAATTATAATTTTTTTAAATATATATATATATAATTGATATGAAATTAGCCAATACATTTTGCGTCTAACCCTTCACCCTTCTTTCGTTAACTTTTGATGTACAAAGCCATGTGCATTAACGTATTCTATGGGCCCGTTTAGTTCACTGATTCGAGTTTTAAATTTCAGTTGTGATGTAACTTTATATGAAAGCTTTTTACTATAGTAAAAAGTTAGATGTGATTATTTCTTAGAGCTTTTTACTGTAGCAAAACTCGAATTTTAAATTTAAATCAGTGAAATGAACAGAGCCTACATATTCGAGAAAGATAAATAGCTTTACTACAAGAATTTTTCCCCCAAATCTTATCGAGGAAGAGAAAGTTGAGATTGGACAAAGACTTAGTTTGGTAGTGCCGTAGATTTAAAAAAATTTTCTTTTAGCTATACTGAAGGAAGAAGCAGTTGTTACAAAAAGCAGCTGAGTGTTTAGTAAACTATAATTATAGTAACTGTGCTAGTTACAAAATCAGTATAATAGCGTTTGGTAAATTATGAGGTTGAATTATTGTGAATAGTTAAAAATTACGACTATATTATATTATACTATAATATAGTATATATAATTACAATATAATATATATTTATTATTATATTTAATATAAGACAAAAAACTATTATTATATAATTAGTGTGTTTTGAACCAATTTCGTTTCTGTTTTTTACATTTTTCAAGACAAAAAAATGAGATTGAGGGGAAAATCGTGTTTGGAGTAAAAAAGGAAAGAAAATCGAAAACAATTTCATTTTTTAGTTTAGTGTAAAATCACTTAGACAATGAAAACGATTTGAAGTTGTTTTTCATTTTTTATTTCCATTTCTTTGGG